GAGTAGCAAGTAGATATTCAAAGAATTATGATTGTTATGTCATATTTAAGATCACGTAGTAAGCAAATAAACAAAAGACAACAGCCATTCCGCCATCTTAGACAAGTGCTCTCACACACACACACACAAACACACACACACTGGCAAATAAACAAAAGACAACAGCCATTCCGCCATCTTAGACAAGTGCTCACACACACACACACAAACCAGCAAATAAACAAAAGACAACGGCCATCTTAGACAAGTGCACACACACACACACACACACACCGGCAAATAAACAAAAGACAACAGTCATTCCGCCATCTTAGACAAGTGCTCACACACACACACACACACACACACACACACACACACACACACAAACCAGCAAATAAACAAAAGACAACGGCCATCCCGCCATCTTAGACAAGTGCTCACACACACACACACACACACAAACCAGCAAATAAACAAAAGACAACGGCCATCTTAGACAAGTGCATACACACACACACACACACACCGGCAAATAAACAAAAGACAACAGCCATCCCGCCATTTTAGACAAGTGCTCACACCTCACGTCGGCCTTTAAAAGGACGGCGTTGTTTGAAGCAAGAAGTGTGATAAAGGTAGGGTTCGATTCTTTACCGTGTTCTTGTCTGCCTGACTTATGAGCAAATCTAATGAGCAAAACTAATGAGCAAAACTAATGAGCAAAACTAATGAGGGAAAACTAATCAGCAAAACTAATGAGGTAAAACTAATGAGGTAAAACTAATGAGGTAAAACTAATGAGCAAAACTAATGAGCTAATCTAATGAGCAAAACTAATGAGGCAAAACTAATGAGCAAAACTAATGAGCTAATCTAATGAGTAAAACTAATGAGGCAAAACTAATGAGCAAAACTAAAGAGGTAAAACTAATGAGCAAAACTAACGAGCAAAACTAATGAGCAAAACTAATGAGCAAAACTAATGAGCAAAACTAATGAGGGAAAACTAATGAGCAAAACTAATGAGGGAAAACTAATGAGCAAAACTAATGAGCAAAACTAATGAGCGAAACTAATGAGCAAAACTAATGAGCAAAACTAATGAGTACAACTAATGAGCAAAACTAATGAGCTAAACTAATGAGGGAAAACTAATGAGCAAAACTAATGAGGTAAAACTAATGAGCAAAACTAATGAGCAAAACTAATGAGGTAAAACTAATGAGCAAAACTAATGAGGTAAAACTAATGAGCAAAACTAATGAGCAAAGTTAATGAGGAAAACTAATGAGCAAAACTAATGAGCAAAACTAATGAGCAAAACTAATGAGCAAAACTAATGAGAAAAACTAATGAGCAAAGTTAATGAGGAAAACTAATGAGCAAAACTAATGAGCAAAACTAATGAGCAAAACTAATGAGCAAAACTAATGAGAAAAACTAATGAGCAAAGTTAATGAGGAAAACTAATGAGCAAAACTAATGAGCAAAACTAATGAGCAAAACTAATGAGCAAAACTAATGAGAAAAACTAATGAGCAAAGTTAATGAGGAAAACTAATGAGCAAAACTAATGAGCAAAACTAATGAGCAAAACTAATGAGCAAAACTAATGAGCAAAACTAATGAGCAAAACTAATGAGAAAAACTAATGAGCAAAGTTAATGAGGAAAACTAATGAGCAAAACTAATGAGCAAAACTAATGAGCAAAACTAATGAGCAAAACTAATGAGCAAAACTAATGAGCAAAACTAATGAGAAAAACTAATGAGCAAAGTTAATGAGCAAAACTAATGAGAAAAACTAATGAGCAAAGTTAATGAGGAAAACTAATGAGCAAAACTAATGAGGGAAAACTAATGAGCAAAACTAATGAGCAAAACTAATGAGCAAAACTAATGAGAAAAACTAATGAGCAAAGTTAATGAGAAAAACTAATGAGCAAAACTAATGAGCAAAACTAATGAGCAAAACTAATGAGGTAAAACTAATGAGCAAAACTAATGAGAAAAACTAATGAGCAAAACTAATGAGGTAAAACTAATGAGCAAAACTAATGAGAAAAACTAATGAGCAAAGTTAATGAGGAAAAGCTCGAGCCAGTAAAAACGTATGCATGAGAGTTTCAGGAGCCCGGTGATTAGACCCTGGATACCTTGGCGACCCTCGTATACGGGTCGACCCTAAGGCGACCCTCTTATACGGGTCGACACTGAGGCGACCCTCTTATACGGGTCGACCCAGAGGCGACCCTCTTATACGGGTCGACAAGGGATATCTTGGCGATACATAAGGGTCAGTGCCGGATGTCCACATGACCTTGACCCTGTAATGACTCACACACAAATAACTTGTGAGCACACAGTGAAATATCCCCCAGCAGGATTTGTCCCCGCTGAGTGAGAAAAAGGAAACAAGCCATCCAGTCAGGCGCTGGTTTAAGTGCTGTGTAGTCTCCAGCGTTTGACTCACGCCCAGTGTGCTCGTGTTTTGGTGGCCATTGGGTTACAGCAGCCT